TAGTCACCGTTCCACTTGAGGTGCTGCAAGTTGCTGTAAAGGAGCTGCCCGGCTGTCCCCGCCGCCCGGGTGAACTCCTGCAAGCTCATGTTGCAGAGGTGCTCGCCGTTGATGTCAAACTCTTGGAAAGGGATGCAGCTGGCGTCCAGCTGGTTGGTGTCCAGGAGGTGCTGGAGCCATTCCCACACCTGGTACTTGGTCCAATACTGAGGATGGATTTCATGCCACTGGCCTCCAAAAAATCCACTGGAAACTGCAAAACAGGAGGTGGTTCCGTGAGTGACCCGTGTTTGTTCTCGGGCACAATCCCAGACGAGGGGATGCACTGCTGGCTGCCAGATGTCACGGGGAACACAACCGCAGTGCATGTGTGTCGGTGGGGGTTGGAGCACGAGACAATCTCTGAGGAGGAGGTTCTTGGAAATATGGTTCTTTCCCAATTGTGGTGGGGACCAATCACTCCGCCTCTGTGTGTCTGCATGCCCTCCCCAGTACAAGACTTACCCCTGGGAGCTGAATAAGAACATGAGACCTGAAATGCTCTGAGACTGTAAGCTCATTCCCCATCTTCCCCAAAGTACCATGAAAGCTGAGCATTGCTACAGTTTCAGCAACTTATTAGCTTTTTGTTTATCCCAACATAATTCTCTTCCTGTCTCCTTCCCCCTCTCTCTTTCCCATCTTTTTCTCTCTTACGCACTCACACACCCCAATTTCAGACCATTTGCAGGTGAAAATGAGGCAAGAGAGTAAGGTTCTTTTCTCTCTGACACCTTTGCTTCTCTCCAGAGTGGTCCAGATCATTCATCTGCTAACTGTGCCGATATACCGTGGCCCCACAATGGTTATTATAGCTACTCTGATGTAATGTCCCTACTCAGTTACCTTCAGTAGCTTCCCATTATCCACTGAAATTAGGCATAAAACTGCCAAAGCAGGCATTGAGGCTCTTCACTAGCTATTCTTCAAGTGAACTACAACTTTTGTCTTTTTTCTATGTTGTTCTTTGAGTTTGTATTCTACCAATCACTCCCTGTTGAATTCCTACCTAGTTTTCAAACTCTGACCACCCGACAAAGTCATCACAGATTCCCACTTACTGTGAGGGCTACTCTCAGAATCTCCAGGAGACGTGCTGAATATTTATCCTAATGTCTTTTGTCATGTCCTGATTTTCTTTACAAGTATCTAAGTATTGTCTTATTCTCCTTTGTGAATTGTATGCTCAAGGTCATGAACTCTGTCTTATCCACCTTTGTATCTCCTAAAAAAAAACTACCTTAGAGACTTTGCTACCATAGATGCTCTCTACAGATTTCTTCAATGGAATTCATTGCCGAAGAAGAAATAATATAGGAACCTGGAAGACTTGTGAGGTGCATTCATTAAATAGTTAATTCAAAAGCAGTGAAGAAGTGAAATTTATTCAATCCAATAAAAGCTGCTGAGGTCTAACCATCTATGTATGTCGCTCTCATGGTCACTTAAGAGAACATCACAAAGTCAGCTTAAAGTCCTGGGGGTTGGAGAAGAGAGAGCCAGCCTCCAAAGACATAGACGGGGCTGAGAGATCTTACAGTCCCCTTGAAAACAGAGGTCCAGGAGAAGAGCTCTCTTCTGGGAAAGGTGAGGGGCAGGGGTCAGGGGAAGACACTACTGTAGTCTACCAAGCTGAAGGAGGGGAAATCCAAGTGAATATGACACACAGAAATGCCCACAAACTCAAGGATGGATCAATAGAGAAATGCATAGTGCAAAAAAATTGTCCCTAACTCTTTCTTCAAGATCACATTAGATCAATACTTCTCAAACCCTAATATGGTTATGCACCACCAGGGAATGTTGTTTAAACGCAGATTCTGATTCCACAGATCTGGGGTGAGGCCTGAGTTTCTGCATTCCTAACAAGCTTCCACTTGATGATGATGATGATGCTGGTCTGTGGATACAGTCTGAGTTGCAAGAAGCCAAAGAACCCTAAAAGGTTGGATTCCCATAATGCCCACTGCCTAGCCCTCAACACCCTCAGAGGGAAGGGTGAAGGGGGAACATTTCCAAACCAACCCCTGCTTCCATCTACTGCTTCCAGACTGCAGAAGCACTAAGAGCAGGAGGTCGAGATCATTTAGGCACAAAGGTGACTACCTTGAGCAATACCGGCCACTCACGGTATGGGCTTTACTCCTCATGCCTCATAGGCAGGTAAAATCTGCCTTAAACCAGCAGCTTGGGCCCTGGTGGGGAAGCCAGTGATGGAGAGGAACAGGGAAAATGACTGGGAAAATCTAGTCCAAAAATTTAATTACATAGAAATGTTTCCAAATATTTAAACTCACAGAGTTTAGAATGGATGTTTCCATTTCCTCTCAATTTTGGAGGTCTCACAAATACAGCTGTTTAAGGATGGGATATATTTTTTGTGGTTCCCCAAGTCTGTACTTTTTTTCTAAAATAGTTGTGGTGCTATGTCAGTGCAGCTCAGGGTGTGCGAATGAGAAGCAATAACTCTCAATGACCTAACAACTGGCATGGCATAACTTCTCTCTCGACTTGACATGATCCAGATCAAAGGCTAGTTCCTGATAGTGCATCCTGTTAGAACTTGAAAGAGCCAGAGAACTTTATCTGAAATCGACTGGGAAATTATCCCCATCGGCCAGGGGACTTTTCTGATTCCTGAAATTTCAGGAGAAACATTGAAAACCCTATGAGTTCAGGTCTTCTCTGTCATTCAAATGACTTCCCCCACTCCAACAAGGAGCTAGGCTTTCTTTGGGGGCTCTGGAAGTAAAAGTGGCACCCAATTGTACTTCCGGCTAAACAAATTGCCCCAGCTTTCTCCAAAGCAAACAGAAAGAAGGCTGCCTTAATTGAGGGTCTAGGGACCTGGGAATGCTGAAGACTTTCCAATCCGAAGAACCTTCCTGTCCTATTCGGAATCCTCCTTTGAGGTCCCCACAGGCAATCTAAGGCCTGCAACAGAAAATGTCACTGCCCAGAAAAGGCAGCAGTTTGGCGGGGCAGGTGATCAAGTCAGGGAAGGTCACCTGTTCGTGCTTTCAACCGTGTTCGGCTGAGCTTCTAAACTGCAAGAGGTGGAGCTGCACATGGGTCCGCATGGAGACTACAGTCCTTCCATTATCCTCCCACTCCTTCTCAGACTCTGCTCACCGACAGACCACTTCTATTTTTCAGGGGAATCAAGAGCAGCAGAGTCTCTGGCGAGGAGATTAGCAGCAGGTGGGTGGGAGAAGACCCAGAGCTTCTTAAGCCCACTGCAGTTTGATGCACAGCAGTCTGCCTAAACCGAATGCCTGCATAGCGGGGCGTGGGCCCTGATTCAGCGATGACTTTATTTGGTTCCACTTCTACAGTTCGCCATAAGCTTGGTCACCAAACCCTTTATAATCCCCACCACCACGCCCTCTCTCTTCTAATCAACAGGTTCTAGATTAAAGCACTAAAGGAGGGCACACGGGCTCCTCTCCCCTTCAAAGGGAGGTCACTGGAAAATGAAATGGAAAGACCGATTAAGCTGCTATGATCCTCCCCTCCTCAACTTCCATGCTTCCTCAGAACACACACACGCACACAGGCACGCACACAAATGCGCCTTTCTCTCCTATCCTATCTTGATATACTAAGCCAAATACTGTTAAAAGCTTCGAAAGGTGGTCTTCCCTTTGAGCACCTCTTCTATAACCCTCTCTGCCAGGCTGCCCACTCAGATCCTTGAATATTGAGAGGAAACAATGAAATATAGCAAATGGCCTTCAGAGCCCCAGAGACTACAGAGAACTCCAGCATGAAGAGTTTTCTCCATTTCCCCTGTCCCTCACACCTCCGGCTGTATTTTCCAAACATTAAGTTGGGAAATGAAATCCAATCAAAGCAAAAGAAAAATCCTCATGGGTTGTGACACCCACTCAGCCCCCTTACCATTGCACGTGGGGTAGCTGTCTGTCCAGGCTGGCTGCTGGTGGAGTAGGTTGCTGCTGGGGTTGAGATTCATTACACCACTTCCTTCCAGAATCATGATCTGTAAGAGGATCAAACGGCCAGTTCAGTCAGTGCCTCCAGGACAAACGTCATTTGAGAATACAGATCAGAGTTAATTTAGGGGGAAAAAAAAAGAGGAGAATTTGTTTTTCCAACCATTGCCTCCAAAGCATATTGCCACAGCCCTTTCAGTAAAAGCAAAACTCACTGGCAATTAAAAATTTCCAGGTTCAATTTTCATATGCATGAGGCAAGTTTTTACAGCCACCCATTCATAAATGAATAATCTTTGATCAGGAATGAAGCGGAGGGAAAATGCAATACCTGTTCACAGGGCGCGTCTGGCCAGTAGCCAAGATTTCTTTCTTTTTCTTTTCTCTCTTTCTTTTTTTTCTCTTTTTTTTTTTTTTTTTTTTTTTTACAAAAGCGAAAATGTCAAAGAGATTTTGTTTAAAGTGGAATTGCAATCGACGAAAATCCAAGCCAACACCTGTGGTAGCACAGACCCAACATACGTGCTGGAACCCCGACCTGAAATCAGGTGTTCCCAAATCCCAGCACACAGGGGCAGCCCCTCATCTGGGCACCCAGTAAATTTCTTCAGCTCAGATACCTGCCATGGAGGGGCTAGTGTCAGTGGGCTTCGGTCATATTTTACCTAGAGCTCCTCCAGTATTTGGCTCCATAATAATATCGGGAATCAATCTGTTTCCCTGACAAGATTCTGCCTCACCCCTTCCTTCCTGGTGAAAATTCTGACTAGGTTTCCCTTTCCTTTTAGAGACCTGGAAAATACCACAAGCTTCGTAGCCGACCGAAAGGTGACTTTCTCAGTCTGAGGACTCATTTTCTCAGTAAAAGACCCGGAAGAACCACTTTTCTTCCAGGGGTGTGCTTGAATTTATTAAACAATGTAAAATGTTTGTACTTTAGAAATATTTGTTTCAATTCTCCAGCAAGTACCTCCACCTTTCAGCCTCCAGCCCCATTTGAATGAATGTGCGACCATTCAGAAGAAGAGCAACCTGTTTTCAGAAGGTGCTCGAACATTACCCAGAGACTATACAGGTAACTTGCGCTTTCTAAAATGTTGGGGTGGGGAGAGAAAGCTAGCTTTATAGCAGCAGATCACGGAAATTTTTTCTGCTAGTTTAGGGGAAATCTTGCATCCTGAGTGCCGCCAATGTCCCCAGGATCAAAATTGTCCACCCAGAGTAGTTACAGCCCTCAATACCCCTTCCTCTGATTTGACTACATCTTCTCCAGTTCTGTGTCGGGCCTAAGGAAGGAAGAGAGGAGCTTAGAAAAAGAATAAAAATTCATTCACGTATTCATTTATTCAACAAAAATTATCAGCCCTCTAATGGGCTGGGCACTGTTCTTGGTACTGGGGACAGAGCAACAACGTAGGCTAAACAGAAACATCCACGATGATTATTAACATCATCATTATGGTTGTTTGGCAAATAATTAGGCCTGAATCCAGCCTAAGTAGAAGGTGGAGAAGGAAAGGCAGCGTGGGAATGATGACCATTGTGACAGGGAAGGGGCCACAGCATGGGAAGACAGGAGAGCTGTGGTTTCTGTAAGTTTCAAAGCCAAAAAGAGCTGGAGTTGACTCCAAGCTCTACAACTTACTAGCTAAAGGTAGAGCTACTTTAGACAAGTTGTTAACCTCTCTGAACCCCGGTTTCCTCATATGCAAAATACGAATCATCATACCTACCATGTGCATTGATTGGAGATTAAATGAATGTCTACACACCTTGAGAACTTGGCACAAAGTATGGCATGACTCCATGACAGGTGTTACTATGAGGAAAGTTACTACCTCCCTGGATAACCTTATCCAGAAACAACCAAGTGCCTCAGTTTCCCCACACAAACATCTAAAAAGAGGTGACTAAATTGATTTTTAAGTACCCTTCTAGAAACCCCTTTGATTCTCACCCTCAGAGAAGGAAAACCAAA